AACAATCTTGAACACCAATGATAAAAACAAAACAAAACAAATCCTACAGGAGATATCCAAGACTTAAAGTTATACCACAGAGCTACAGTAATAAAGACAATATAGTACTGGAATAAAAACAGACTAAAAAAGCCACCTCAGTTCTGACAAAGAGGCCAACCTTGCAGCTTGGAGAAAGGACAGCATCTCTAACACACGGTGCTGATCACACTGGATGCAGAAGAACAAAACTAGATCCTTATTACTGATCCTGCACAAAACTCAAATGCAAGTGGATCAAGGACTTTCACATAAGATTTCAGACCCTGAATCTGATGAGGTAGAAAGTAGGGGATATGCTTGACTTCAATGGCACAGGAAAAGACTTTGTGAACCACTCCTGGTATTAAGACCAACAGATAATAAATGGGACTTCATGAAACTAAAGTCTTCTGAAGAGCAGAGGCTGTCCATAGAGTGAGGAAAATAATCTCTACCAACTATACATCTGACAGAGAGTACTATCTAGAATATACAAAGAGCTTTAGAAAAAGGAAAGTACTCCCCTAAAAGGAAAGGAAATGAACAACCCAATAAAAAAGAAAGAAAACAACTTAAGAAAAATCCTTAGCCACACAATTTAAAAATTCTTTAATATTTTTTCTCATCCCAGTCAGAGTGATTAATGCAAAACAAAACAACAACAACAATGAATTCCAGCAGCAACAAATGCTGAACTGGATGTGGGAAAGGGGAACAGTTATTCACTGCCAGCAGGAGTGCAAACTGGAGTAATGACTGTAAATATCAGTGTGGAGTTCCTCAGAAAGCTAAAAATAATGGCTGCCACATGATCAAGTTGTACCTCTCTTGGGTATTTACCCAAAGGACTCTGAATCCTAATCTAGAGACACATGCTCATTCATGTTCATTGCTGCTCTGCTCACAATAGCCAGAAGAAAGAAGCCTAGATGCCCATCAGCTCATGAATGAATAGTGAAAATATGTATTTACACAGTGGAATATTATTCAGCTGTTTAGAAAGATCAACTTAGGAAATTTTCAGGTAAGTGAATGACATGGAAACATTCATTCTGAATGAGGAAAGCCAGACTCAGAAAGACAAATGTTGCCCATTTTTCCTCAATTGTGGATGTTAGCTTTGAATCTTCAGATATGTGTTTTGTTTGTAACACCTATAAAGGTCAGGAAATTTCTAAGGGGCCAAGAGAAGAGTCTTTCATAGGCAGAGCAATAGAATGTAGTTGTATAAAGGGTTAAAAGGGAATAATGAAACAGGAAGGTTTGGGGTCAGGGAGAGGAGGGTAGGGTAAGTGAAGTAATATAGGATAGATAAATAATACTAAAGACCTTTTGAAAAAGTCATATGGAAACATATTACCATAGGGGGTTTCTCAAATATACCTATGCATGCACACACACACACACACACACACACACACACACACACACACACACACACACACGTGTTAAAATGGAGTTATCCTATAATAGGGAAACAATGTCCCTACTAGACAGGGCTAGTAAACAAAAGCCCAGTGGCAGGAATGTATTACTTCTTTTTAGCTGTAGGTCCAGTAGACTCCCAAACATCATAGGTTATTGCCATCATTCTTGACTGCAGAATGCTTTTCTTAGTTTTAATTTATTTTATTATTCTTGAAAAGTTTCATTGTGTTATTCTTTGATGTGGTACAATTACATAGATGACATTTTCATGTACCTACAGAATACACACTGAGCTCATTTCCCACATACTCCCTGACTTTGCCCTTCCTCTCCCTGGTGCCTCCCATCAATCCCTCTTTCCACTAGAAGATTTTACTTCTATTTTCATGTCCTGTGTGCAACCAGAGTTTATGCATCTGTCTAAAATCTTAGAATCACAAAGGAGAAACATATGCTGTATTTCATGGTGAGACTGGGTTCATCCAGTTAATATAATTATCCCTATTAGCATACATTTTCCTGTAAATGTTATAACTTTGATTTCTTTATGACAGAAAATTCCATTGTACACATATACCACACTTTGTTTATCCATTCCTCTGCTGTTGGGCAATTGTTTGTTCTATAACCTAGCCTTTGTGAACAATGCTCCAGAATTTTATGATAAGACCCTGTTACTGCAGACCACATTAAAAAAAATCAAGTTGTCATTGACCTAGAAGCTTCATCCCTACTGTATAGCTATCATAATGCTGGAAGGTGCTATCCATGCTACCGGAGAAGAATGGTAATCATCAATCTTATTCAGTTCTGAACCCTGGGAGCTACAATTATGATTGACCTGGCATGACCTGCCCCTGGTGCAATAGTGGCTGCAACATCATGTCAGCAACCAACAACTTTCTGATTAGATTTAAGTTTTGCTCCATAAGATGAAACACATACATACCTGAAACCATTATTAGGCAACAACCTATGGTTAGACAGATCATAGGCCATAGGGGAGAATCTATTACTGTTATTTAGCTAAAGGGACAAAGTATACTGACTCTTAAAGATTTATCATTAAACCTCTATCAATCTATCAACATTCTTCTGAGAAGTTTCAATTTGCTGTAGATAATGATTAACACTGAGACCCAAAACTGGCCAAGGTACAGTGAATAAGCAGAATGCTTGCCCCTAAATGGGACATATATACCACAACTCCTTTCCCTACACAGCTCAGGGAATATTGTGGAAGAGGAACAGAAAATTTAAGAGCCAAATGTTATGGATGACTGTAAGGAAACAGTGTCTTTTGGATAGAGTAGGGCACCTGAATATATGGACTCACAGTGGTTGTTACAGAATGCACAAGCCCAAGTCGTACCAAATCCTATCATGGGAGAAACCCAGTCTCAACATTGTTTCTAGGTTCTGGATATTATGAATAACACTGCTATGAACATAGTTGAGCAAGTGTCCTTGTGGGATGATTGATCATCCATTGCATATATCCTGAAGATTCTTCCAGGGATTCTTATGTCTCCACTTCATTTTGACTGGTATAAAAAAGAATCTCAAAACTGTTTAAATTTTTATTTCTTTTATGGATATTTTGACCACATTTTTAGGTATCCATTGGCCATCTTTATTTATTCCTTTGAGAATTCTCTGTTCATTTCATGAGTCCTGTTGGGAATGTTTTTTTTTTTAACCTATCCTTAAGCTGTCTCTCCATCCTGCTAATTGTTTCTTTTGCTGTTTACACCATGTTTTTTTGAAGATATTGTTAGCAACGCTTTAGCTAGATAATGTGAAGTGATTTGAAGTAGTTTGCACAATTGATCAAAAGTGTTTGCATAATTCTCTGTGGAAGGATTAAACTTTGATGCTCTTGACACATTTTCCTGTGGTGTAGGTAGTCTGTCTTTCTGCCTCATTTATAGGTTTGTGCAAATGAGTGCCATTCACTAATATTATAAGAGTGACATTTTAATGACCACTATATTATTCATTTATTTGTGTGTGTGTGTGTGTGTGTGTGTGTGTGTGTGTGTGTGTGTGTGTGTGTGTAGATGGACGTGGAAGTTAGGACAACCTGTAGGAGATGGTTCTCTCTTACCATGTAAGGGATTGAACTCGGGTGGTCAGGGTTGGTAGCAAGCACCTATCCCTGCTGAGGTATATCGCTAGCCCTAAACACCGTATGAAAATAGAGTAGTATATTTCATGCCCAACTACTCTGTGCTCTTGGCTCCAGAATGAGGAAACACATGGAAGGATTGAAGCAGAATTAGCCTTAGGCAGACCCTAAGCACAAATAAAATGTGATTAAGAAATAAGTGTTTGATGTTGTAAGCCAGTTAGCTACTGGAATGGTTGTTGACACAGTATACATAATACATGCACAATGTGATTTTCTACCTAGGGAGAGAGAGGTAACTTTAGAACTCAATTTTTTATAAGGAGTTTGGATGATAGAGACTCTGGAATAAGTGGTTACAGTGGGTTACAGTTTGTGCATGAATCACAGGGACCCTAAACCATATAATGAAGAACTACTAATTCTCTTGTTCTTCTTCTATCCTTTAAAAATCCTATTTTCCCTTTCCTTACTAAATAATGCAATTTTGAGTAAAGTATTTTACAGGACAAGGCAGGGTAGGCATCCATGGTAGGGTGGGGTGTGGGGAGGCAATGATCTGTCTGTGCAGAGGGCTGGCTTGACAGCAGAATTGGAGCCTGAGGAGTGAGGGGAAATGTGTCTTGAATGGGGAGTGAGTCCATGAGCAACAGCCTGATGTGAGACTTCAGAGCATGAGAGGTGACAAGGTCTGTGTCTGAGAGTGGGCAGGTGCAGAGCCTCTGAGCTGAAGCAGGGGGAGAAGGCATCCATGCTTGAGGCCACTTCTTGTGGGAAGTCAGAATCCTAAATGAGTGAGTGAGCAGAGGGTTCTCAAGGACAGCCTGGTGTGACACCTCAGCACTTGAAGGAGGTGAGGGTGAGCCCCAGTGCAGTGTTAGTTCCAAGTCAGGTTGGGGTCTGGGGACTCAGTGTTCCTCACAAAGTGTAAACCGGCATGGATTCCAGGAACCAGGCAAGGTACAGATTGTGGGAGTGCAAAACACAAGGTGGGAACTCAGTGACTTTCAAGAGAAAGAGGAAATCCTTGCTGGGGTGTGTAAGAACTGGGCTGTCAGAGTTCAGGCAGGTTTAGGGGAGTATCCATGCCTCAGATAGAGTTGTTGTGGGTTCCAGAGGCTGAACAGTGTGAAGTTCCACATGAAGTGGAACAGTCTAAGGTGTATACTAGGTGTCTTTGGGTTGAAGAACTCTTCTGTCCATGGGGGTGACTTGAGTGTGGTTTTAAAGCCTCAGAGAGTCCAAGAGGCAGCTCTATAGCGATAAGGAGTAGGAATCACAGCACAAGAAAAAAAAAAAAAAACAGAGGCTTTATTGTAGAGGTCAGCTCAGACCGAGTGTCAGAATCTCAATTCTGTGAGAAGTTTGACTTCTCTAATGGCCTGGTTCCTCTTTTCCATTCCTTCCTGTTTTCTTCTCTTGCCCTTTGAATTCTTGGTATTTCTACGATTGTATAATGATCCTGGGTGCATTCTCTGCCTGTGATTCTCCCTTTGCAGGTCAGGGGACTGGACCTCATGCTGCAGGCTCAGGGCAGCTGTCTGTTGCTTCCTCTCATCTCTAGCTGGTATCGGGACAATTGCTGCCACGTTTGTTTCTTGTTCAGGACCCGTTTTAAAGAAGGGATGGCATACTTCTTCTGAGGGCAGGGGAAGATTTCTTCTCAACATGTTTTCAGAAAACATTTATATTAACACAAACTTCAAAAATAAATTTGATTCCTCAGACCTCAATGCTGACTCTCCTCCAGGTAAGAAAACATTTTCTGCTACTCCTAGTGAGTGATGATGTAAAGGACAAAGATAATGTTAGCCTCTGGCCATGCCTGTGGGTCACTGGAGTCTCAACCAAGTGTGTTGCCTGTACACAGATGTGAAAGGTTGTGGGATTGTACAACGGAGAAGAGAAGGTGTCTTTTACCATTTAGAGAAAATCCCACCACCCATGTTATTGTATCTTTTTTACATATAAATACACATATATATGTGTAACCAATTGTTTCAAAGTTAAACCATGGCATACTGATTTCCCCCTCTCTATCAGGTGACATGTCATAGTCTGTTGGCATCCAAGTGTTGAGTAGTTTCTTTCACTCTCTCCCTCCTGTGATGGGGACACAACACAGGACCTCACCCATGGTTGGGAAGTATTGTTACTATTTTAGAAGTGGTGACTGAAAACGTGGTGACTTTATCACAAAATGTGACTTCTTGACTATTGCATATTTGAAGTTGGAAGCAAGCTGGAAAACTTTAAGAGTATATAATAAAATACTATGCAATCATAATAAAACTGATAAAGAAGACATAATGATATAGAATAATGTTCATCAAGATGTGCTGGCACAAGCCTATAGTCACAAAACTCAGGAGGCTGAGACATGGGTTGTCTGTGAGTTTGAGGCCAGCTTGGACTACATAATGCATTCAAGGTCTACCTGGGGTACATACCAAGACCCTGTCTCAAAATAAAACAAAAATAATAAGGAAAATTATGATATAATGTCAAAAAATGATAGTACCTAATCAGTATTTATGATGTTCCAATTTTATAATATAAACATTTTTATGTAAAACCTTTAAGCTTGTTGGAAAGATACATACCAAAATATTGGCAACAATCATTGTCAATGTCAGGAATGAGTGATTTTATTCACATTGTATTGTTTCTATAATTAACAATATAATACATTATATTATTAATATAGTATGTAGTACATAGATAATATAATTATTTCCTATTTGCATTTTCCGACTACTTTAAACATCATGTTACTAGTGTTTATCACGCACAAAAAGAGAAGAACAGGAGAAAGATGAGGAAATAGGAACAGAGCGCAAGACATGAGTTTGGTTTGACTTTCAGCTCCTCAAAAGAAGACCACGACTCATGAAAGCTGTCACAGATTCTCCAAGGTCCTCCTCACCTCATTCACAGTCTATTTCCTGCTGTTGACAACCTTGTTCTCTGTTGCTCTGATCAGTAAGTATGACAGTGGGACAAGTAAACACAGAGAAGGAAAGGGACCCATCAGACAGATGGTGACCCAGAAACCTGAGGCAGACACTCTCTGGGGAGATGGATGACATTGGGAATTTTCCCTGTTTCAGAATAACTCTTTTGTAAAAGTCATTCATTCTCACTAGAGAAGCAAGTGTGTGTTTGTTGGTGGCACAGAGTGAAATCCTGGGCATCTATATTAGACTCCAGTACCCAGGACAAACCTATTTCCACATCATTTGGATGCAGACACATTAATATTTGGAATGAGGCAGGTGATGAGAAGAGATGGCCAGAGCTATTCCAGGGACAGTGCTCCAGTGGAGCTCCTTCTAATCATTTAATTTTTGTTCCCGATCGTGTGAGTCCTAGAAGCTAATTTAGAAGATAGTGGATTTCTTTGCAGATTGGCTTTCAAATTTATGAAAAATTGAAAAGTATAAATGGTATATTTTATGTAGGTGTTTTATCCATTCATTAAATAAATAGTAATAATCATTTACTATATATTAGGCAGCATGTAGAGAGTCCAGAAAGATCTACAGTCCCCAGTCTCAGGAAATTTAGAGTAGAGTCAAGTGAATCAGTACTTTAAAAATTGCATGGGAAATGCTCTGCAAGTGAGAAGTAAGAAGTAAACACAGTGGGGCTAAGAAAAGCTTGGAGCAGATGACACCTAGACCTGTGTGCCAGCAATGTCCTAGACATGTGGGGGCATGGGAAATGTGGGTTATTATAAGTACACATTACTGTCATGTATAGTGCTACATGGAGAAACAAGCATGCAACTGTAGCAGACAAAACTGGACTCAGATCATAAAGTAGTGTATACCATATTACAGGGCATCCCCCTCTAAATGTTATTTTATTTAGTAGTTGTTGCTGAACCATTAGCCAACTTAAAACTTGGTAGGTTCTTTGAGTTATTTATTTAATTCTCGCTTGGTGGCTTCACAGAGACTGGTCTCTCTTGGGAGATTCCCATGGTTCTAGGTGAACTTACTCATTCTCATGGAGGCATGCATCAGTTCAACTCAGCTCTCCATGACAAATTCAGACTTGCAGGACAGATGGAGGCAGTAAGCCAAGCTCTACATGGAGCTAATACATATTTGCCTTTGTATATTTTAGTGGCCAAAGAACTCTTAATGGCAGCTCAGATGAGGTGATGTAGAAATAGACCAGTATCTTGAGTAGGGAACTGCAAAGGTATAGTCTAAATGGATATTCACATAGGGAAGGATAAGGAGTATGTCCAGTTTTTCCATGTGTCACAGTCATGGAGATTCCCTGATGAATCTGAAGCAGGACATGATAAAATTAAAACTGACTTAGAGAAGTGTGCTCTTACAGAGGTGCAAAAACGAAGGGAAGGAAAAATTAGGACACTAATTCAGAATCTGTTTGAACAGCACTAGGGGTTTGATACAAGTAACATGCTAGTGATGCACAGGAGAGGAGATAACTTGGACAAAAGGAGGTGACATTTTGATCAATATTGATAGCTTACATTAGGGGACACAGAGGAGTGAGGTCTGTCTTTAATATTCTGATTTCATAAAGTCAGCAGTCATGAATTTATTTTTAGGAAGAATTTTGAATACTATTGAGGTCCAGCCTCTTTATTTTCCTTCCCAAGGCCCCAGAAGAGACACTATTAATGGTGCAAGTGACTTTTGGGAAAAGAATCTAAATACAAGGAGCTCTTTCATCCATCTGCTTTATTCCTCTGCCACCATAATTCTGCCTGGTCCTCTGGGGAACTGGTCTATATCTCACCAAAACAGCAACACTACAATACAAGACTTACAAGGTCCTCAGCAGAGACATCATGGTTAACTTCCCTGGGAGCAGGGAGTCTGGAGGCAGAAAGCCTTTTCTATGTGACTTTATCCAAGTACTTTAAATGTATATGCCCAAGGAATGGTCTGTAGCTTGAGTTTTCCTGCCTGGCCCACAGTCAGGACAAACTCTCTCACCCGCCAGTCCCACAGCCACTCAGACCCGACCAAGTAAACACAGAGACTTATATTGGTTACAAACTGTATGGCCGTGGCAGGCTTCTTGCTAACTGTTCTTACAGCTTAAATTAATCCATTTCTATTAATCTATACCTTGCCACGTGGCTTGTGGCTTACCGGTACTTTACATCTTCCTTGTCCTGATGGCGGCTGGCAGTGTCTCTCTGACTCAACCTTCCACTTCCCAGTTTTTTCTCCTCCTTGTCCCGCCTACACTTCCTGCCTGGCCACTGACCAATCAGTGATTTATTTATTGACCAATCAGCAACACATTTGACATACAGACCATCCCACAGCAATGGTCCATTCACACTGTTATAAGTTCTTGGGGAAATTATGAGAGCACAAAAAATTCATAGCAGGAAACAGCTGATATATTAATACCAAATAACACCAAATACTCGTTGAGGTTTGACTTTTCCTCCAGAAGGATTCCTTGATCCTTCTAGGTATAGCTTTACCTTATACAGCTGAATCTCTATTTCATATTCCTGTGTCCCATAGCATAAGAAGATGAGTTTGAATATGATGACTTAAGTTTTGTTTATGTTCACCTAAATTTCTTTTTTTTTTTTTTTTTTTTTTTTGGTTTTTCGAGACAGGGTTTCTCTGTGTAGCTTTGCGCCTTTCCTGGGACTCACTTGGTAGCCCAGGCTGGCCTCGAACTCACAGAGATCCGCCTGGCTCTGCCCCCCGAGTGCTGGGATTAAAGGCGTGCGCCACCACCGCCCGGCTTATGTTCACCTAAATTTCTAATGCACCGTTTAGTTGATGCATATTAACGTATTTTAGGAAAGAAGTGTACATTTTTTAAGAACTTTGCTAATACGCAACATAACAAAAACAGACTAAAAAACAAAACAACCACCACTACTCCCCCCTCCCCAACAATCCAGGACAATGAATATCACTAAGAAAGAGGAATTTGGATGAGAAAGAGAGATACAGAAGGAACTGGATGCAATGTTTCAATTTAAGAGGGGTAGATGTAGAGGACAACTGGTAGGAAAGAGCACAGGAAATAGCAGCAAACAGGACCAGGCAAAACATAGGGAGCCAATGTCTCTCAACAGTTAAGGAGGAAGAGAAGTGGGCAGGGTCATGTGAGAAGTCCCACAGGAAGATGACTGATCAGTGGACATGAGGAGTCATTGACATCTATTTCAAGAACAGTTTGGTAAATTAACAGAAGGGAAAGCCAGAATCTAGTGACTCCAGGAACAAGTGGGAAATGAAGAAGAGAAGAAAGAAAATTCAGTTTCTAGAGGAAAGGTGAGTTAGTTTTCAGTTAGGAGCACTGTGAAATTATGGGGAAACAGAGAAGTCAGAGCTGGGGTGGAGGGAGATACAGGAAAGAAGAGGACGAAAACAAAGTCCTTTTGATCAGAGTCGGGCTTTTATAACTTCCGTGCTCAGGTAACCTGGAACTGCTCTGGATTAGCTCATTTCTCCCTCACCTTTCCTGGGGGTCCTCACATACTTAATAGAACTTATCACCTAAGTTGTAGTCTTCAGTGTGTCCTCCATGAAATGTTGAAGAGTGCCCAGGGTCATGGATCTGTCCTGTCCTTCCAGCTCTTCCTGAAAATATCTGTGGTCATAAATCACTAGGATCAGGGTTATACTGTTTGTGGGGTAATGAAAAATTGTCTTTTTTTGTGGTAGGTTCTCATGTAGACCAGGCTGGCCATTAACTAACTAACCAACTAAATAAACTATCCAATGAACCAACTAAGCTAAACTAACTTACTAGCTAGCTAAACCAACCAACCAACTATACTAACTTAGATAGTTAAGGATGACCTGAAACTTCCATTCTTCCTCACTCTAATTCCCAAGTGCTAGGGCCACAGGCTCCACACTCTGTGGTGATGGGGAATCTGTCCCACGCAGACTCTAATGACTCAGGTAACTGGACATTTAAAGGTTTTGTGTCTACAAAGAATGTAAGAAGGTAAAAGTAAAGAGTGGATTTTTTTGTTTGTTAGCACTAACAAAAAATGAATTGTTTTTATTCTGTTTTACAGCTTTGTTTAAAAAATATTCTCAGCTTCTTGATGAAAAAGCAATCATAAAAGAACTGAATTACACCGAATTAGAGTGTACAAAACAGAATTTATTCTTGAAAGGTAAAACTTAACATGCTTATGATCAGCATTTCCAGCAAGATTCTTATTTAGATCAGCAATGGGCACTATGGGGACATGACTTCAGACCACACACCCAGTACCAGCTGCCTGTGGAGTCCTTTTTAGAGGTCTCCAGTTAGGCACAATTGGGATGTGTGGCAGCCTAGTGTCAATAAAGCAGAGTTTCAGGGAGGAAGAGGCAATACTGGGCTGAATAGAATTTTATTAGAAAGAGAAAGGAGCTCCAGAAATAATAAATCAAATCTGATGGTGTGAATGTGAGCATCTCCAGGGAGTCATGCTCAAGGGTGTGTGTTTAAGATTTCGTTTTTAATTAAAATATGTATATATGCACGTGCCTGTGTGTGGGTTTGTGTACATGAATGCAGTTAGATGTGGTTGTGAGTCAGAGGTTGTGGGCGCTGGGAACTGAACTCCAGCCCTCTGTGAGAGCAGTACACACTCTGAACCACTGAACCATATCTATAGTCCCTCAAGCGTTTTCATAAGTTTGTGTGTGTGTGTGTGTGTGTGTGTGTGTGTGTGTGTGTGTGTGTGAGAGAGAGAGAGAGAGAGAGAGAGAGAGAGAGAGAGAGAGAGAGAGAGAGAGAGAGAGAGAGAAAGAGAGAGAGAGGATCTTGTTGCATTCTCAGTTACAGTGTCTACAAAGTGTAATTTACTCAACATTTGAATAGAGAATTTGTTTTTCTCATAAACTAAGCTGGAAGGTAGACTGATGAAGATGTATTATCTAGATTTAGGAAAGAGAGGGAGAGTACTTTAGGCTGTCTATCCCTTTGGCTCCAAGTAAGCAAAGTTTCTTGACTGTCTTTGACATCTGTAACTGAGATGTCTTTGGAATAAACCATCTGGTCCTAAACAGACACAGTTTGGTTACTGTCTTTGACAAGAGACCTTTTGGAAAACATGTTTTCCTAGAGCATTTGAGCTTGTCTGGGGTTCCTGCCTTTCTCAGCAGATCTCTCTCTTCACTCACTGGATCCTTTGCTGTAAAGCAGCCTGCAATCTTATTCAGGGAGTCTTGGCCTATGCCTACATCTTGAACTGTTTTCTTTCTTTTCTTTCTGTAACAATTTCAGGGTTGCAGGCCTCACAGTAAGGTGTTTAATCCATTTAGAGTCTGTTTTGAAGTCAACTTTTACACAGAATGGGTATGAATCTAGCTTCATTCTTCAGCACATCGGTACCTAGTTTTCACAGCACAGTTTGCTGAAGAGCCGATCTTCCTCTGATAAGTATTTTTGGTGAGAAAGTTAGGTGGCTGTAGCTATGTGGGCTTATGCTTGTGGTTCTTTTTGTGTTCATCTGTCTTCTAACTCTGAAAATTTGAGGCCCTGGTTAATGACATCTATTGTTTTCACATGTAAATATGTGTATATTTATGTAATATGAGAACTTTCTGGTTCTTGGTATGATGAGTTCTATTTTTGAGACTCAGACTGTTTGGCATAACGTCTGAGTGTTCTTTACAGTTGTTTTCCTGACTGTACCCCAGTAGGACAAAGGGGCCTTGATGTTAGTGTAGATGGAGGTAGACTGAGGTTTCTTGTCATCTGAGGGCTGAGGGGTTCCTTGATGTATCTGGAGAAGGGGGGAGTCCCAGCTTCTGTGTGATCTCCACATCAAGCAGGATTTAAAATGACTCTATGACATTCACTTATATTTCCTTCTTTCCCCCAAAGACAAAGTCTGGAGCTGTTGCCCAAAGGACTGGAAGCCATTTAGTTCCCACTGCTACTTCACTGTGACTGACTCAGCATCTTGGGAAGAGAGTGAGGAGAAGTGCTCCAGCATGGGTGCTCATCTGATGGTGATCCACAGCCAGGAAGAGCAGGTGCATCCTGGGAGAGAGTGGGGCCCGGGCCTGGCCTGCTATCTGCCTCTTTTTACTAAGAGAGAGTTTTCTTGACATGGGTGTTGCTGATGTGGCAGAAGGCTTACCATCAGGAAGCCGGAAAGGATGCTTCAGCCTTGGCCTTCTACACCTTGTCCCTGCTTCAGTGAAGCTGAACAACCCACAGGGAACCATGGCAACAGAAATGCAACATCTGAGGTGGAGGGAAGGATGAAATGTTTGTGCTTGAAAGACCAGTTTGTGATTTCAGCACTCTAATGCTTCCTGTAGTACCCACTGCCTAATAGAGGAGGGTGCAGAGCTGACTAGGGAAAGGGGATCAAATCAGGAGAGTCACAGCCAACCATCAGAAATAACATATCTGAGGTTATGAATGGAGAATGCTTACATCTGCTAAATTCTCTCATGCACAACTTTCAAGAATGGTGCTGGGGAAGAAAAGAGGGGAGTGAGTCTGAGATGAGAATTCATTATGATCATGGACAGAGATTGTTTCCAGTGTGATGGAAATCAGGCCTCTGAGTGATGACTTTGTGTCCTGGTCAGCTGGAGAAGATGGCAATCCTGGGGGTGGGGTGGCTCTTCTATTCCTTGATCCTTTCTTTGTCTTCTCATCTCTGTGTGACCAGAAAAAAAGTCAGTCAAAGTATCACAATGTATCTCTAAAATGTGCAATTATTGTGTCTTTATCTAAAATTTGAAAACTATTTAAGGGCCTAGAGAGATGAACTAGGACTTGATTATTATGTATTTCCATAGGTGCATCATATTGGACCTATAATTTTGTATAGTTAAAATAATTTTTAAAAGATCTTATAAAAATTCTATAATTGAAAAAGAATCACTCCATCCAGGCTGAATGCTGTATCTTTCTTTCCTCTTAGGATTTTATCTCCAAGATCCTGGATCCTAAAGCTGCTTATTATATTGGGCTTTCAGATCCAGGTCACCGACAGTGGCGATGGGTTGATCAGACACCATACAATGAAAGTGCCACGTGAGTCCAGAGTTACCTAGAGGAGTCCTGGGTCCTGTAGCATGAGAAGACTTTAGGGTGTTCCAGCTGTTGGTTATGAAACTAAAACAGCTCACTCCTGGTGTGAGTGCTGGGGATGGAGTTACTTTATTCCCATTTCCTCATCAAGGAGTCCTGTGAGACACATGTCACTGATACTACAGGAAAGATGAGGAAATTGAGTTTGAAGAGTGAAGCATGATAAGTACCCAGGGCACCCAACCAAGGTGCTACACCATGGTGGGTTTCATTATGCTTTCAGTCTCTCTACATATTTAACAATAGGATTTAATTTATTTTTATTTGTGTGTGTATCTGTATCTCTCTTGAGTGTGTGCCATGTGTATGTGGGTGCCCATGGCATTCATAAGAGGGTGTTGAATTCCATGGAGCCGTGGTTACAGGTGGTATACCATGCCAAAATGAGTGCTAGGAACAGAAATCACACATTTTTTTTTGGAAAAGCAGCAAACCCCCTTAATTTCTAAGCCACCTCTCTGGATTTCGTTTATATCTGTATAACAAAAATTAGTGTCAACTGATTATTTCTCTTAAAGCAAAAGCACTCAATCTGATATTTTTATGTCTCACATTTATGTAATTATTTAAAAACTCTAATATTTTAGTATGTTCCCATATTCTATCCTTATTACTGTTGTGAGAAATAGGTAGTAATATTATTGTCATTCTCAATTTTCAGAGAAGAAAAGTAGGAATCCAGGATAGTAAATTACTTTCCTAGGTGACAGAAATAAGTGGATTATCTAGATATTTTTAGTAGTTCTCTAATCTCTAAAATAAAACTATTGTAAAATGGAAAAAATACTTTATTACAACACAAGAATAGGGAGATACCTTTTCAACATATATATAAGCTCATGGACTTATGTGTCAAGAACTGTGTGAGTTCTCTTCCTAGCACTCATATTTGCACGGTCATACCAACTGTAACCACAGCTCCAGGGAATCTAACACCCTCTTATGAGCTCCATGGTACAATCCCCGGTTACCAAGACCTAGGGATGAAGTAGCCTCTGGGATGTGTTCTGGGAGAACAGTCGAGTAACAAGCTAAGAGAATATTGAGTGCAGTGGACCCTGTTTTCAAGGGACATGTCAGACATGGGTGGTGGAGAATGGTTGATTTGTACACACCTGAATCTGCTTTCCACACATTCCCACCACATCCTCAGGCTTGCTTACTCTTGTTTTCTCTTTCTCAGCATCACTGTGGGAAACACTCTGATGCTTTTTTCTCCCTTCCAGGTTCTGGCACCCAGGTGAGCCCAGCAGCGACAACGAACAATGTGTTATAGTAAGTCATCCATATTCTAGTTGGGGCTGGAATGACGTCCCTTGCAGTGGTAAACAGAAGTCAGTTTGTCAGATGAACGAAATATACCTATGAATCAAGCTTTCTCCGTAGACATGGATTGTATTTTTATCCAGCACTACATGGACACCTGGAAAGATCTTCTTGGGGAAGAGATGTCCATAGATATTTAGGTAGGCATCAACAGTTATCCTTATGATTATACTGGTCCCCATATATACTTATTTTATTCATCCTTAACTCTTTATATAATGAGAATTTCTCATATACCAGAGACTCCACAGGATCCCTTTGGGCATGTGTGGAAGCACTCCAGCCTCTGTGTCCATTCTTTGATTCCTAAATTCTTATATGATGACAGAATTGGATGTTGTGTTTCTCCATCCAATTCTCTCTCTCTTTGTTCCTCTGTCTTTGGATTTATTGATGTATAATTGACAAATAAATAATGTATATTTACATCACACTGTCTTGACTTGATATGGAAATGTATTATGCAGTGGCTACCACAATCAGGTTAACAGCTTCCTCTATTACCTAACTTAGTTGTCTGTTTTTTTTGTGTGTGTGGTGTTAGAACATTTAAGATCTTCTTAAGCAAATTCACACAGACAGGGTGACATTGTTATTTATTGTCACTTTGATCCTCAGTGCTTACTCACATTTTCTCTGGCAGTTTGTGCCCTTTCATCAGCATTTTCTCATGTCTCCCAATACCTGCACTACCAGGACCCATTCAGTATCTTGTGAGGCTGTGAGGCTGTGAGGCTGATGTGGGCCTCTAATGGGTGGCTGATCCTGTCTGGGTGACCTTCCTCAAGAGCAAGTCCAAGAAGATGATAGCCAACCTTCTACTGGCACCGCCTGTTATTCTTGTACCTGCCGCATTAGGGATAGCCTCTGCCCTGTGAATGGGGATTGACGAGAGCCATATGTCCCATGGAAGCCTGTATTCTACTTAACACTTTGGAAGCTTTTTCAGCTTTTTATCATGAATATTTTGAACCAGAAGTTGACTGGGTGGTATCATCAATACTCATATAACTACCATCTATAGTAATGATTGTTGACTGCTCAATAATTTGATATGTATGCATGTATATACATACATATGCACATGTTACATCATAGGGCACTTGAGAGTTAGTTTGATAAATTATACTTCAGTCAATATTTCAGTGTATATCATCTGAAATTGTCATTGCACAACAAAACAATGCCATTATCACTGATAGAAAATTTAACAACTCTTTTCTCAGATGATGTGTGATCTTGCCTGTATTTCCTCATCCATCTCCAAAATGTTTCTATGGCTGTTCTGGGATACATGCAGACAGAACACTGTATACATAATAAATAAGTAAATCTTTAAAAAAAGATTATAGTTTTGTTATGTAGAAAGCTACAAAGCAGAACTAAAGGGAGGGACACATCAGGTGAGGTCAGAGGGTCCCATAAAGGGAACTTCCATTGACCCCATGGATGCATCTCCTTCCCAGAATGTTAATGAGTGGCAGTATACAGAATAGGCCAACCAAGGGGCACTCATCTGAGCTCTGATGTTCAGAGATTTATCAGAGTTTATTACATAGGTGTGAGTGTTTGGTTGATAAGAGAGTGAACTCAGCCTTCAGCATCACTTCCCTGCCAGGGTGAGCATCTCATGGCTCAAAGTTTTCATACTTTAATCACATGATCAGTGTTTCTGAAATGGTAAACTCCCAACACGAATCATCTTGTTAGCATGAACTATGAAAGAACTGAGCAGCATAAGGCTTCATGACCTACCATGATAAAACAGACTTTCCAATAGCTCCAGGAATTCCAAAGAATTACAGAAGTAACTGTAGCAGGAGGTTTCTCTGAACAAATCTTTCATCTAGTCCCATACCTGCTTATAAACATACGTAGGCTTACATTAATTACAAACTATGTGGTCTATGTCTCAGGCTTCTTGCTAGCTAGCTCTTACAACTTAACTCAGCATTTCTATTCATCTATGCATTACCACGTGGCTTCATGGCTTCACCTGTTCTCTCACATCTTTCTTCTCCTGGCAGCAGCTTGTAGCATCTGCTGTGACTCCACCCTTCTTCATCTCCATCTTCAGTTTGAATGTAACACCTAACCTTATTCTGCCTCACTATTGGCCAAACAATTTTATTTATCAACTAATGATAGCAAACCATATTCACAGCATATAAAAAGACATCCCATAGCAATTTCCCTTTTCTGTCTAATCAAAAAGGAAGGTTTTAACTTTAACATAGTAAAATTATATATAACTAAACAGTTATCAAGCAGGAATTGCAGTTACAATATCTAGTCTCTTTGTATTGGGCAAGATTAGAAAATATTCTATCATTTATCCTGTTTTGTGAGTCTACAGTTTTATATCTAATTTATCTTTTATCATGACTCAGCAAAAACTATAATCATAACTATCTAGTCTTCAACTCTATCAAAGACCCCAGAAGGATACAATATTTCCTAAGTAAATAGGAAGTGTATTCCAAGCAACTTCCAAAATTCTAGAATTGACAGAGACATCTGGATTCCTGGACAGTCACCCAAAGTTCCTATGCAACGTTGGGGCATCCATCTTTAGCCTATAGGCCTAGAGTCTCTGGCTGACTTTGTAGTGAAGTCGGAAATCTGAAGGATTGTCTCATCCATTGACAAAGTTCTTCAGTCACTTCTCCCTGTGTTCTGCAGAATGTCTGGCAGTCTTCTCTGCGAAGCAGGAACATGAAGGACCATCTTGTCTTGTTTTGGCAAAATTCAGTGGTCACTTTCTTATGGGTCCTGTGTATCCAATTTATACAACATACTGTCAAATAGTCTGGCAAGAATAGTTTCTTTCCCAAATGGCTAATTTTTGTCATAAAGAAAGCAAACTCCATATAGAGTTTCCTCGAAGTCCATCATCTTCTCTGAAGTAGATTGGTGCTGCCAGGAGCAGACATGTCTCAATGTCCCAAAAAGTCTAAATTCTTAATACATTTTAAATGCCATATTCTGTAGGTCTTTGAAGTGTTTGAAAATTGCCTATCTATCTGAAATAGATCTCTGCATATCTATGCCATATTCTGTAGGTCTTTGAAGTGTTTGAAAATTACCTATCCATTTGAAATATATCTCTGCATATCTATAAAACCTAACTAATATGACTATAAGTTTGCTATTAAGATGATTATTAAGTTGTTTTTCTTAATTATATATTACATTTTAAAATAAGCTATATAAACATAATACCCTAAACAAGAGTAGAAATATACATACAGTATAATAAAATTAACCTTAAATTTGTATCAATAAACCAAAATCCATATCAATGTAACATATGTAAGATTAATAGTTGTTTTTTTTATTAAAGTAGATTCAACAATCTACTCTTTCTATATTATACCTCCCTTTTTGATTTTGGAAAGAGATTGACAGGACTAATAACAATTTGTAACCAAATTCCCTAAACAAAAACAAACATCCATAATTCTTTTTTTGGGGAATATGGGTGTAGTTTTCTAGGCTACCTCCTGTTGATTAGGGGCACTGTTAATCTTATGGGGACCCTGAGAAAATTTAGGATTATGGTCAAGTCCTGACTGGAGTAGTCTGTGAGGCTAAATCATCTCAGCCAGCAGCTTGAAGCCTTTCTGGATGCAGAACTCAGAGGAAAGTGCAACAGAGGCATTTTGGGATGCTGGATCATCTGGGCTATCTGTTTTCACTGGTGTCTGGTCTCCTCATCTTGAAAATACATAAACTTTTAAAGGCAATATACATATCTGTGTTAATACAAGTATAGACTGTGCATTGTACATAAGTCAGCCAAAGATAATTTTTTGTTATGTTTGAGCAGGTAAAATATACATCACGTGTCTTATAGTTCTTCCAGGTTTATGTTTTATGTCCATAGTCAGGATTTCAGGGGGTCTTCCTTGATCAAATCTGATTTTTAATTTTGAATGAATCCATAGCCTCTCATTTCCTGTGGAAACAAACGCATAACCTCTCCCGTAAAGTGGCATAACTTTTGACTTAAATTTTGGAGTCAAGATATTTTTAAAATATGTAGGTTGGTTTAATCTAGCAGCTTTTATAGTCAAATGTCTCATAGCAGTTAAAAATTTTAAAGACAATGCAATAATATACATAATCTAGACTTTCTGTGCATTTTCTATTCTCACATGGCTCATTTTCTTTATATTACTTTACTCCCTTTCTAAGGACTTTATTTTACTGTTTTAAAATTGTGTATTTCTGCCGGGCGGTGGTGGCGCACGCCTTTAATCCCAGCACTCGGGAGGCAGAGCCAGCCGGATCTCTGTGAGTTCGAGGCCAGCCTGGACTACCAAGTGAGTTCCAGGAAAGGCGCAAAGCTACACAGAGAAACCCTGTCTCGAAAAACCAAAAAAAAAAAAAAAAAAAAAAAAAATTGTGTATTTCTTTATATAATTGCCTATACTCATTTTCCTCTCTCTTCCAATCCTATGTACATTTTTACACACACTGTAAACTGTTTAGAGGTTTATTCCATCTGAATCTGTCTTACCGTGTATCTATAATCCCTTTTTGACCAAGAAAGATTTTAAACTACTAAGCTGTATGGCAGCTTTGGCTGTTGACTGTGCCCCATTTGGCTTCCCAATATGGCAGAGGTACATTTATCACTAGCACTGGGAGCCATGCTCATTGACAACTCTGGGAATCAGTGGGTCTATGCCTCTATCAAGCAGCATGTTAGCCCAGAAATCTTTTTTGTTGCTGTTGTTGTTTGTTTGTTTGTACTAGCAAAAGCTAAATCCACTACATGGTGTGCTGAGCAACTTAGAGATGCCTCTAAATACAGCGGCAGGAATCTGCCATGCTGTGCTCAAGCTCAAATGCCAGAGAATCTCTGTGCCATGGCCTGCATGAGAGACACAAACTAGGCAGCTGCTCTTGGTTCCACTTTAGAATGCTTTTTTAAAGCTTTCTCAGGTTTTAGGTGGAAATTATTGCCCCACATTGGGCAGCCAAATGTAGCCGGAGGTTTCTCTGGATGAATCTCCCACTTGGTACCACAGTTGCTTATAAAATAAACACACAGAGGCTTATATTAATTGCAAAGTGCATGGCCTATGACTCAGGCATCTTGCTAGCTAGCTCTTACAACTTAACTCCGCCCATT